CGTGAAATTCTACGTATATTAGTGGTATGGCATGTAAAAACTATTGTTACAAGAAAAACACGTGCTGCACATAAATCTAATTTTGATTTTCATATTCAGCATAAACAATTACGCTGGGTAGGTAAGAGTTTGTAATGGAGCTATGTAATGTTACCGGGTGGGTGACTACCGGGGAAGTCCGGGTCCTGTCTACTTATTGCAAAAAGGGTTTCAAGAAGTGAATTTATTGCTGAAAAACTTGTGGGTCTCGCTTCGTCAACCTTTGGTTCTTTACAAGAACCATTACGAGATAGCGGATCGCAATCCGCTACCTCCAAGAGTAGTTACTACCTTAACTAAGGCTAATAAACTCTTCGGGTCAAAGTCAAAACTGATTTTTATTTTTTTTATCTGCGGCTAACCCGCCTAATTTTAAATGTATAGATTCTACATAATATATATAGTAAAATCTAAATACATGCATAACTACTAGCTACCTAGCCACATACCTTATTCTTGTTTGGGTGCAGTCACACCAAGCACATCTCGTGTGACACCCCCCCTGTTACCAGGGTACGTGTTACCCGTTACACATATCCCACAGCTACTGTTATAGACATTACAGCTTGGCGAAATTTTTCCACCTTATAGATACTGGAGTACGCAACGGAGTCTTCAGCGCTTTAATCTTCCCGCTTATCGGATGTACTACTCGACTACAACATAATGACTTGAATCTTCGATAAAACTGTCGGTGTATTGATTGCGTCTATGTTGTTCTACGTTGGAAACACCATAAAACTGAATGTGGAAGTGCCATAGAGCCAAGCTATTTGGCATCTTTCTCCCACCAAAGTAATTGACTTCGCTACCACTGTACGATTGGGTCGTCGACTGAACTGTTTCCGGCCACTGACGAAACAATTTTGGTGTTGATTTCCCTATTCGTACTAGGTACACTATTTTCTCAAAAGATATGTATCAGCCATAACAAACAACTTACGACGTGCTCTGTCTTCAAATTGTAGACATTTTTCGACAGTGCCTAACAATGCACTGCTGACGCATACAGCGAATCTTCAAAGCTCTTACACACTAACTTGCATTAGTATAAGTTCAAGTTTTTTTCGACATGAGTGAAACTGTTATTCTATTGTGAATTCATACCATAGGATGTTTTCTGTATTCGCTTATAGTATAATTATCAAGCCAGCTTACAAATTTTGTAATTGACTTCGCAATTTCATGAACTAGATACACAAAAACGCTACATTTTGCTTCGAAGTTTACAAGACCGTTGCTGAATTTAACCTGCGACATCTAATTTTCCGATCCTTAATCCAACTTGGATAGCAAAACTAAATAGTTATATATTTGTAAAGCGAGCTTGTAGTCTACCGCTTTTACAATATTTCGCTTCATTTCAGAGATAGCTAAAATTTTTGCTTAATTATTTTTGGAACGCAAAAACTGACTGTCAGGTAAATTGCTTCCCAATAAGTGATTATATATCACCCAGACGTGAAGACTATCCTTTACTTCTGAGGTAATTGCTTTCACGACAAACCAACGTGCCACGTCTGAAGACGACTCGATTACGTATATCAGCTTTCTGTACTGACCTCCAAATTCCAAAATAATCTAGATTTTGCAAGTATCGTCTTCATCAAGCTGATACACTTTTTGATAAGATTAAGATGTGCTCCTGTGCATAAAGTCACTGAAATAGGTCAATGCGAGCACACCAGTTCACAGTGCTTGTCCCAACATTACCTAGAGAACATCGAAACGTGCTGCGACACCGGAAAGGTGCTAAATATTTGAATGGCAGCTCCAAAGACTGGCGCAGTACCTTTCACGACAGAGTGGGTAAAACCACAGGCACCTCCAATTTTGACGTGTGCAGTCTTCGTATTCTATTTTAATTTCCGCTTTTATATTAGATTTCAACCCTTCATATCCAACACCTCCATGCTTCAGAAGATATGATTTATTTCCTGGCCCGTGCAAATAAACTTCATGATATAATGACTCGTATGTTAACGCATCAAATGGAGAACTTCGAATTTGAAACAAGCAAGCGTACTGCCGAGCTTTTTTAGCATGATACAGTTAAGATAAAGACTCCTCTTTACTTTGGTGATGACGAATGCTGGTCCATACCCTGAAACCAAATACCCTTCACACAAACATCATTCTGGATGAACCATTCACTATCGAAGTCATAACTTCTTATTGCAAAGTTATCGTTTTGGTGAAATGTTACACGCTGCGGATGAACTGACTCCATGTTCAGCTTTGAACTCGACTTTAACACAAAGAAGCTGACGTCTTATGCACACCAGAAGAGAAGAGAAGATGGACGAGTAGAGCAACCTGAATTAGCAAATGTAATAACCATGCAGTGCTTATGCAAACAGGATGAAGCATACTATCACCTAGTTATCACAAAAAGCATCTAATCATGACAACACCAGCCAAACTTGGCATCAAATGAGCTTGAACAGCAAGTTTACGGATTAAATTTGAACTGGGATACATGCAATGTAACTCATACATTTACCAGAATCTCGATATTTTATCCTGTTGATTTTCTTTTTATTTTCCAATATTTCTCTTCTCGAATATTCAGCTTCTGCGGTATAAGGTTAGACAAGCCGCACCTCCCATTATATAAACTTGCAAACAGTCGACACGACCCTAACGTCATGTTTAACCATTCGTGCGTGTTTGATCCTTCCGCACACTGTTCCATTTAACTGACATACTCATCGCACACAGGTACACGAGCGACGCTTCACGCAACTACAGCGCTCCAGAAGTAAACCCTATCAAGCCGTACGCCTCACAACACTTTTTCTCTAGTTATACTGGGTAGTTTCTAATTATGAAAATTTGTATACAGTGAAAAGAACAACCCAGAGGACAAAGCTGGCTGCCAGGACTGGCCGTATGCAGTGTTATTTGTGCTGAATGTTGGTGTCATTATTGCGTTGATGGCCTTGTGGGGCGTTAAGACGGTCACAGACTCGCAAGGCAGTTCAAGTGAATTGCTGTCGGGCGACGATACACGAGTTGTGGTGAGCATTGCCGTTGGAATGGCCGTTATCTCTATGACGCTTGCACTTACAATGGTCAAACTCATTGTCGCTTATGCACGCGTTATGATTCTTTTCGTGCTCTGGTTTAACGTCGGCATTTCCTGTGCATTCGCTGCATATGGATTTATCATTGGCAATCTTTTCATCGCCATATTTGGAGTTTTAATTGCCTTATTACACATTTGCTATGCACGTGCAGTACAACATCGCATCCCTTTTGCAGTTGCTAACCTTCGAGTGGCTGAAGGAGCAATTTCTAAGCATGGATCTACGTACATTGTGTCCGTTGTTTTCACGGTTGTCCAAATAGTTTGGGTTGTCATCTGGTCCATGGCGCTAGTTGGTGTTGCGAACGAAATCGCTGAAAATGAGCCGGATAACTACGCAAGCAACACATCGTCTACAAGATCTACATCCAGACAACCACGTGGATCCTATGCCGCGTTTTTCTTCTTGCTTTTATCGTTTTATTGGGGACTGCAAGTTTTTAAGAATGTTGCTCACACAACTGTTGCTGGTACCGTTGCGACTTTCTGGTATCAGGCAGAGTCAAAGGGAGCAACGGCTGCGTCTCTAAAGCGAGCGACGACGACATCGTTCGGCTCGATATGCTTTGGCTCATTGATTGTAGCGTTTCTACAGGCACTTCGTGCGGTACGAAGATTAATTTGAAGCTTTAATCTCGATGTCTATGCTAAAGGAATCACTTTATTGTAGCTGGCAGAAAATGGTCGTCAAGAAGGAAGTGCAATGGCATGTTTTGCTGAGTGCATCTTGGGTTGTCTGCAATCTTTGATGGAATACTTTAATCGCTGGGCGTACGTTTATGTCGGTATCTATGGCTACAAGTTTACGCAAGCTGGCAAAGCTGTGTTTGAGCTGTTCAAGCAGCGCGGCTTTGATGCTATTATTAATGACGACCTTATCGGCAACGTGCTCGGCTTTGCAGCTCTGGGTGTTGGTATGTCTTAATCGAGTTGAAAAGATGAGAAATTGGTATTGACTTTTTTTTTCTTAATTTTTAGGACTTATTTGTGCCGGTGCTGGCGCATTGATTGCGGAGACAACTGACGCGATGAGTTTTCACGATAGCACTGTATTCTTAGCCGTATTGGGTCTCGTGGTTGGCATTGGTGTCGCTGTCACGCCACTTGCCGTCATCGACAGCTCGGTCGCCACAATTTTCGTGTGTTTTGCTGAAGATCCTGCTGCGTTTCAGCGCTCGCATCCAGACTTGTATGCGCCGCTGGTTCAAGAGTGGCACAATCTTTATCCTGAGGTCATGGTGCAGGCTGGATATTGGTATGTGTAGTCTGCTAGCTTATTTTATATATCAGAAAGCATTTTTATGGCTGAAAAAATAATAAAGATTTCTTATATTTCGTATTGTGAGCCTATTATGTACATAACTTAGCATTTGTGACCTCCACGACTGGAATATTCTCATGATTTCAGATTGTTTCTTCCGATATTTTTAAAGACAGATTGTTGAAGCAATGTATTGTATTATCTCATTATGACTCGAAACGGTTTTAACGCAGATTCCTTATCCGTCTATACGCTTGCAATGTGGCAGAGCTCCATGCTGTTACTCGTCAGTCTATTGTTTTTTGTATCAACAAATACGGCTACGTCTATGTCTTCGTTCTTTATCGATGAAGCGACCACGAATGTTTTAGCTCGGCAAATCACACAATTCAGTCACGAAGGAACAAATGGTACGAATTTAGACACCGAAAAGATTAGCTCCGAGAGGCTAGACATGACGACGGTTATCCACTTTGTTGCCATTGTATTGCTCATCATCATGTCGGCCATTGCATCGGGTCTTACACTGGGACTTTTGTCGCTGGACAAAGTGAGTTTAGACGTGATCGTTCGTGCTGGAGGTCGTCCTGGAGCTACATTAGATGAGATGAAGAAGGCTAGAGCAGCTAAGCGCATCCTACCCGTCCGAGCAGACAGTAATTTATTGCTTACGACGTTAGTGCTGACTACTGTGGCAGTAAATAGTCTTTTATCGATTTTAATGGCCGACTTGACGAATGGTCTTGTGGGTTTCTTCGTCTCGACCATCCTCATTGTCCTTTGTGGTGAGATCATCCCGCAGTCACTTTGTTCACGTCATGCATTAATAATTGGATCGACATTCGTACCATTTGTACGAGTATTGCGACTTGTATTATACATATTTGCAAAACCAGTAAGTTATGTGTTGGACCGTACAGTTGGTGAAGATGTGGGCACAGTGTTTACAAAACGTGAGCTACAAAAACTTGTGGAAATTCACGTGAATCAAAAGATTATGCACCCTGAAGAGGGATTCATTGTTAGAGGAGCAATGCGCTACAAGAACAAGGTTGTGAGTGATATCATGATTCCAGCTCGGAAAGTGTTTTCCCTTCCGATATCCTTTACGATGTTAAATTTCTCATGTCTTTAATCTTGCTATCGTGGATATCTGCTTCCTTAACTGTCTAACTCTTGTTTTTTTCTGTTACTGTCGTCATTTGTCATACACCAGTACAATACTTAATCTAGAGACGCTTAAAATGGTCTACAACAATGGCTACAGCCGCATACCTGTGTGGAATAAAGACCCAAACGATGTTGTGGGCATCGTTTTCACAAAAGACTTGATCTATGTGGATCCGAATCAAGATGTGCCGCTTATGGCATTTGCACGTGTGTTTGCAGTCGCAGCACACCGCATTTGGCTTGATGCACGACTTGGCGAAATTCTTAGCGTCTTCAAGTTGGGGAGTACCCACATGGCACTCGTTTATGACGTCAATAACTCTGGACCGGTACGTTTGATCATGAAATTAGCTTTTCATCTGACTAAAAGCTCTGCTGTGGTAATCAGAGCGATCCATTTTACGAGCTGAAAGGCTTAGTTACACTTGAAGATATCGTCGAGGAAATCTTGCAGTCGAAAATTATCGATGAGACCGATTCCCCTGAAGCTAGAAAAGAGCGACTTAATTGCACAGATCAAATTGGATACACCGATGGTGGTGAGTTTGTAGTCCATGCCGTCGTCTTGCATTCACCAAATATCTCTCGTAGTGACTCTTTTTAAGTTTTGACTATCCTTTGCTCACCATCGTCTCAGCATATTTAGATGAACTGGATCCACTTCTTTTGGAAAGGAAAACGAATTTTGGCACTACATTTGAAGCTCTGGCGTGCTGAAATGACGAATGTCATTATAAATACAACGCCTTTGAAGACTCGGCGATGCATCAAGCGCAAGATTATATAATGTGCAGGGCGTATTCTATCAGTCACATGAAGTCAATTGCTGAATCGACTAATTTGATAATATTCTTTTGATTTTATATTCTTGTCAAAAAAAAACTTTAAGCGGTGCGTCCTTTCACGATAGGGTATCCGTGTCATGACGATGACTGTGCTATCGTTAGCAATAATCGCTCTGTTTCATGGCTTTAAAGCTGCAAGCTCTCTTTCGACCATATTATCATGCACTTTAACGGCAGCAGAGCAAAATGAAATCACAAGATGGTCGCTGTTATCAAAGCTGACCCTTTCACGGGATTGTAAGCAAAAGACTTTTTTTTGAATATTTGTAGAGATTCACATTGATATGAAGCGCAAGCAGCGGCAGTATTTGCAAACAAAGTTTGGGTTGTCGGTGGCGTGTCAGCTTCATATTACACAAAACAATTGAAGTACACATCCATGCGCTCGGATGTGATTTATTCAAATGATGGGGTGACGTGGACAGAAGCGCTGGAGGAAGCTCCGTTTCGACGACGCTATGGACATTCTTTGACCGCCTTTATTGACTCAAAAGACAAATTGGAGCGTCTTACGCTACTCGGAGGCTTTTCACCAGAACCAGCGGCCGATATCTGGGTGACTACTGATGGAGGTAGGCAGTTCTTGGGTCCATACGATAGAAGTGTGCGACAGGATTACTTAGTTGCCATCTTGTGTTCTTCAATACAGTTTTGTGGAAAGAAGCTACTGCAGAGGCTCCCTGGACAGGTAGAGGCTATCATTGCTCGGTTGTCTTTGCTGGAAATTTCTGGGTGCTTGGTGGGAGTCCATTTAACAATGAAGTTTGGTTTACATCTTCAATTCTTGATGGATCATGGAAACAACAGGTAAATGTGCCTTGGTCACCGAGAGCTGCTCACGCGTGCGCTGCACACGAGGTCATGACAAATGCTACAGCAGGCGATCCATCCCGAGTTGAATATCTATTTTTGATGGGTGGTTGGCGTGATACCAGTCTACACGATGTATGGCAAATGAATGCTGGTGGATTTTGGAAAGTTCTCGTTGAAGCAGCACCTTGGGACGCCCGAGCCTGGTTTTCTCTTGTATCCTTTGACTCCAGAACAAGTAGTGATGTCCAGCTTGGACCAAGACTGTGGGTTATTGGTGGAGGCATTGTTGGAAATGGTATTGAGAAAATGTATCCATTCTCGGATGCGTGGTATACGCGCGACGGCGTTGAGTGGGTAGCGGCAAGCTCGAGTTCATCTGGCATTTCAACTGCAGAATGGAGTATGGTAACTCAAACTAATGCACAAGTATGTTTTGGAAAGTGGGGACATTCGATTGTACCATTTTTTCGTACAGTCACGCGAGCTTACTATTGTCACGAGTCGTGTATGAATGAAGCTGGAACGATTAGCCTTGCAAATCAGCTCATTCCAGTGTGTAACCCCAGTGCACATTTGCCCGAGATTCCAGCCCAACATACATTATTGATCAATAACTCTTTGATTACAAAGACACTCTACCCGGATGAATGTGGTCTGTGCAAAACAGACCTCAACGCTAGATACCGTAATAGCACTGGTGTACCCACGCTTCTTCTTATAGCAGGAAATGTCGGCGTCCAGAAAGTAAACGATGTCTTTCAAAGCAGCGATGGGAGTGCGTATACCACAATAAAAATACTGATCTTGCAGATTAAGAAACAATATTTTCCATGTAGTGCTGTGTGAGCGAGAAGGCGAGATTTGCTCTGGCGCAGGTGTGTGCGTACAAGGCGGTACTTGCCGGTGCAACACTGGAAAATCTGGAGCATTCTGTGATAGCGAACTGGGCTATACAGTCATTGAATCGAGTAGGGCTAGAATTGCCACTTCTTGCGATCTATCAATCTGATGCTTTTGTTATTCAGCGAATTGCTTCCCCGATTCGGCTATGGTTATGGTCTCCGACGGGAAAACCAAACGCATGGAAGACGTGAAGGTCGGAGACTCGGTACTTGCGATGGATGAGATTGGAAATGTTGTGTACTCAAGAGTCTATTACATCCCGCACGAAAGCTATCGAACTCTCGAGACTGAGTACATCAGCGTTAGCCATGAAGGCATGGAGCAACAACAGGTACATATCGACCAATTTGAGTAGTATTGTCCGGTGATGTAACTGCTTGGTGTCTTATGAACATTGTTCTTGCAAATACATAGGTACAGTGGTATTTGGAATCGGATCAGTCTGCATTGTTTGCAAGAACAATTGTGATGCATGTAATCTGCTTGTGCTTGCAGGAATCGCTTCAAATCACCCCGAATCATCTTGTGTATTACATAGATTCTGGGATAGAACCGAAGAACACAAGCTTCAAGTATGGGCCCAGATTACATCACGGACCAATAGCGAGTTTAGCACAGAAACCAGCAAGTGAGTTGCAAGTGAACGACGTGCTCTTGACATTCACATCAGGACTTCGATCTTGCCCATCCAGAAATACAACATCAAAAATACTATCTAGGAGCAGTACAAGCTTTGCCAATGAAAGTTTTTGCGAGGTCGATATCCTGAATGGGGTTACGTTTGCACAAATTACTAAATTAACCCGCGTCAAGCATCGTAGTGCCAAGACCGTGTACACTATGACGGGCAATATGTTTGTGGCGGGTATATTATGTAGTAACTTCGGTGATTATTACCCAACGATTCCAGGTCAACAAATGCGAGATTTTATAGCTCATAAGCTTTTTGCGCCGCATCGGTTGGCCTTCAGAATATTCCCATCCCCTCGCACGGCCGCACTTTTACGTGTGTTTATGGACCAGCTGGTGCTACCGATTTTAAGATGGCTGTGTTTGCTGATCCGCTGACAGTACGATCTTTGACATTATGTAACGGTAAAGGCATGGAGATCAAAATCTTAAGATTTGCTTCGTCGTGGTTGTGACTTATGTGTAACCCACCCCAGAAAAAGAACAAAGATGATGGATTTTCAGGGTTGGTACTATAGAAAAATCAGGTTTAGTTTTTTGCGTATGTTACACATGCACGGTATCAAATATCGAAAGTGTGTTAGTTGCTTCTCCGCTTTCGTATCTGCATGAGCCTTCATGGATTGTCGAACTGACCACTTCAGCTCGATTATTGTGTAGCATGCTTCTTGCTTTCACCATGACGTAAAGTACCTGTTTTCACAATTTTAAAACTCAAAGTTTTTTTTATTAAAATTGAGATCGTCGACCCTGTTTAGCCCGCGTCTCGATCCTATTTCGACGGCAGCACATTCGCTCAGATGTTCACAATGCAGGATCATATTTAAGTCGCTTTATTGTCAAACAATCATTTTACCCAACGAGAAACCCCGCATTTTCATCGTTTCCATCGTTGATGTCTAGGCATTTTCAGATACCCTATTGAAGCACTTGTCTTTGTGCCCGAAATCTTTTATTTGCGTGAAGTCGATGTTTCTGTTGATTTTCCTAAACTTTCGTTTCAGTTCCTTGCACCATATAAGGCAGCTTCATTCTTTTCGGCCTTACCTCATCCGGTAAACCTCCTTCGAGTCCACAATGAGCAATACACTTAGTTCATGTCTTAGACAATATACGTAATCAATCGGCACTTGTAATTTGATATGCTCCTCGAACCAGCTGTCGAGATGATTTTAGCCATCGTTACATCGTGTTCCACGTAAAAGTCATGGGAACGCCAGGCCATTGATATTATAAAGCGTGGTCCAATTGTTATGTCATCGCCTACCTGCAAGACCATTGTTGCCGAAACCATATTCATATTTTATGCTGGAGAGTAACATTTGAGCGATAGACTAGGACGTGATGTTGATAAGTAGACTCTCGACCTTTAGCTTGACCAACAGCTGACTGCTTCGTCGTTAACATCAGTCGGATTCCCGGATAGGAACTGTCATTTCAAGGCTCACTTTGCATAGAAATTTTGAGCATGTCCGTCTGCGGCTATCCGTGGGTTGAGCTACTGATACATCCAGACGCTTAGTTCGCTATTCGGACCTAATTCCAAGTCTATCCAATGTAATATAATTTACTTTAACCAACCAAGCGGCCACGTAAATTCGCGTAATCATATCCATCATATCGTGCACAATTTGTAAGTGCTGCAGGTTCAACAATCAGTATGATAAAGTCGAAAGTTTCGAGCGAGGGGCATTCGATTGCTCCAACAATAAAGAGTGTATTGCGAAGAGTGATTGCCAGAAATTCAGGATTTTGCACATGATAAGTCACGAGGAAGGTTTGGCAATGGGGAAAAGAGACTGCTGAACGCCTTACGGTCATGAAGAAGTGAGCTACAAACTGTGACGAATTTACTTCAAAGTGAAGAAAAGATGTACTACACAGCTCGATGAATTACATAAAGACACTCGAGACAAAGAGTACGAATGCTGGTAGGCACCAGAGGTGATCAAAAACATTAGAAACGTTAACATTGGGACGATTGGAGGAGATTGCTAAATAGACGTCTGTTAAGAAACTTTATACCATGTAACAAGCTGACCTGTAGTCTAAACAGCAATTGATACGAGCGAGACGAAACACCGAAGGTTTAAGAAACTCATCGCTCGCTAAGGCCAAATGAAGTGCAGGCTCTAGAAACCTCTGAAAACATGGACAGACTTCGTGCACCCTACATAGAATTATAAGCTGTGCAAAGTAAATTTGAAAGGCAGTGAATAAAATGTTCATGGGAAGACTTATGAGTGGACTTCAACGTAAGTAAGCATAGCGGGATTATTTAGATTCTGTCCATCAGTCCAAGAAAGCTTTTAGTCTATTTGCATCGAGAATTTGATGAAGCATCGACAAAGTTCGGCGTGAGAAAGTGAACGCTTATCAAAGTGATTTTTTCGCAATATTAAAGTGCTAACAATTTTTGAAAGGCTGTAGTTAGCAACGAAGATGCGACCGAATCAAAAGCGATATTACGGGCATCGAGACCTCAAATGGTAGTTGCGGCGTTACAAGTGTGCAAAGTAATCGATGAAGGGCTTTGTCGTTTCTGAAGGCTGAAAACCTTAGGGAATTGTGAATGAACTAAACACTCGATAGAGCAGACATGAAGGGGCCTTGTGTGAAGATCGTCAAAAATTTCGGGAAAGGGGTGATGCTTGCAACACTAAATAAGCTTAGGAAGATATCGCTTATGATGCTTAATAGTGGCGCGTCTTCTGATGCTTTATTTAATCTAAGTATGTGTGAAAAATTACTGAGACGATAGCATGATATCTCGTGGATTCGCTGTGATCATGACACTTTAAAATTGTAAATTTTGAAGGTCAAAGCATCGCTAATATAGATCGTCCAAAGGAACTTTCTTGCATTGATCGACGTCCAAAATATACTAAAGAAAAAGACGTTTCCTTTGGTGCGCGAGAAAAAGAGACACGTATGCACATCATCCTTGCAACTTGAAATCAGTTGTCAGCGTTAGTTTAATCTCGCGCAAGTGGTGCTGTGCACAACCTCGCAGTGAAGGAGAGCTAGACCCCTATAGATTCCTCATTTTGCCTTAACAAATCCATATTGGTCCTGGTAGAAAACGGTTGAATAAATTTCTAAATCGAAGCAGTCTGTATTCCTTCTTAGCTCCTTAGCTCAAGATGTCAACGCTACTTTAGTAGTTAGTACGGCTATTGGGGTTGTGCTAAAGAGAACATTGAGTGACGTTTATGCGATATTCAATTCAGGGATTTCACGCGGAATCTCCGGGTCGAATCGTGTTCTTATGCACAGCACTTCTTTTCTGCAGAAATAAAAAATTGATATTGTCCGGGCTCCATTATCTAAGATGATGAATTACAATGTGTAAGATTACCTGAGTATCCTTTCTGGTCAGTACCGAGTGGGGACATCTACTTTGTGGTCGACAAATTGTTCTACTCCTACGATTTGGTAGCTTCAAACAGGCAGAGCGATTGAAAATCTCAAGATTTCAAAACTTTACTTTGTCATAGCTTCGTTTTGGGCTTTCTGATCAGATTTTTCAGCTGGAACTCGATGTTTGCTGCCCACCATTCCGTTCACAGCAGGCTGCTTGCATATCGAGCATAAATACAGTTGTTTGTCCAGCTGAGGACATGAACGATTGGCGGTTTGATATTTGCCTTTTTCTTTCTGTATCGAGGCATGATTCCTTCTGTTAGCTCCGAAATGCTGGTCGGGGAAGTAAAGCTTTATAATATTATCTAGTTCGAATTTTTGTATGATTTAGCCCTAAACTGCCAAAGGATGTGAAAAGGCATAATACGTCCAGTTGGGAAGCGCACGTTCGCAGCAAGCAGCTGGAAAGGCAAAGTTTCCGTACACGCCACAAGCGACGAGACATACTAGCTGGCAAGTCACTGCGAACTACTGTAGCTGGCCCACAATTAAACCACACGGCCACAGTGTCTCCTGATCAAATGCTCACTGCTTAATTTGCTCTCGGGCTTCAGATAAAAGCCAAGTATTCGTATCATGCTTGGCAAACGTATTGCATCGGAGATTGAGGCCTGCCTCACTGAGTACTACCGTCAAGAGTGCTTACGTGCCTTGTATACCAAGAAGAACCATCTACAAGACTGCACTTGGATCAACAAGGACATGATGGCAAAGTCTACGCGCCGATCGCGGAAAGGCGTTTCATTCGCCTTGGTTCCTGAAATTATCGGTCGCGCTGATCCTACTGTGGACCGAAGCCCTATCGACGTGTCTCCGGTTTCCAAGCTTGAGCTTATTTTATTGTGCTCTGAACGCACGTTTCCTGTCCAAGCGTAAATGAAGTTGGCTGTAAAAGCTACACAATAACCTAGAGAATCATCGACTACATACGTAGTACATGAGGCAATGCCATGCGACAAACGCTAAACTCGATGCTGGACACGGTCGCAACTCCTATGGAGTATTTTTAAGCTCGTGATCACGAGATATATTAATAATTGATTTAACAAGTCTCACTTCGTATCAACATTAGTATCACCTTAGCAACCTGACAGCTAGTTTATCATGTACAAACGATCAAATATTTAAGATAAGTTGTGTTCAGCCTATAGACTGTCATGTCAATCTCTCGCCGATCCAGCAGGTGTATACGTCCTTTGGCAGTACTCATGGCGTGCCGTCTACAGCTCTGATACTGATGGAAGGGTCAAACTAGCGGCTACAAAACTCAGCTTTTTTGACCGGCTCAGCTAAATTTCTACTGCTGTTTGTCCTTTGTTGGCTACCTCACCGTGTTACCATCGTTGGTTTTGTCGTTGATGGCTCTTTAAAACATAAACAGCCACATTACTTATACTCCGGAACTACTTGAGATTCAAAATATGATTCAATTTCTTAAATTTGAATTCATAATTTTAAGATAGTCATGGCAGGAGCCCGGCGAGGCATTTGCAGCTCGCCTCTCTCGTCTGATGACGAAGCAGCGAATCCATCCTTACAATCCTTTCCAGAAATATCTCCATCACCTGCAGCACCACAAAAAAAAGCTCGCAAGTTTGTGAGAAAGAGAACGCCCAAAGCGAAGAGAACAATTCTACAGAACAAGAAGCAGAAGCTTAGCACTCGACCGAGCACTAAAGAATTAGTTCAATGCGCGCCACAGAAATTTGTCGAATATCTCGCTGATCAATTAAGTATTGCACAACAGACAAGGTATGAGGCTGAGTTTGGTGGCGAACGAGGCTATATTGTGAAGCTACCTGTATCTAGTGGAAAGTTGGTGCGAAAGCGAAGTGAACTGGAAGACTGGATTCGATCATTAGGCTTTCTATTCCACTCTCCATCAAATCATTATATGCTGCGTATATCTAATTTAAAAGCGGATGTTATATTGAGTGAATTGAAGCATCGAGTGCCTTTACCTGCTAATGCAACGCATCCAACTCTACTTCGGATGACTCAATACTACAAGGAATTGGACACACAAAAAATAGATTGTACATCACCTTCGACGATTCGTCGATCGTTATCGTCAACACAGCATAGGATGATTGCTGATGCAATGGAAGTTATGCTTGCACAGCCTTCAGTTCGAAAAGACCGTCGTATTGCGAGGCGGCTATCAAAGCTGGAAAGGATATCGGGTCGTCTACTGCATTCAATTGCAAAAGCGCCATCCGCCATGTCATTTTCAAATTCTCGAACAGATAGTATGGAACAGGATTGTGAAATCGACAAAGCATTAGTTTATCGACGCTTCTCACGTGACAAGGTGTCATGTGTACAAAAAAGTAGTGTTTTAAGCCAAAGTGTTGTTGAGATTGTGCTCTATTCTGGATTGGTGGATGTGAGAGCTTCTCAAGAGACACTTCGTCAGGTTTCGACGATGTGGGAGAAAGTTGTTGTCATGTGAGTCATTTCAATGTCCAATGTAAACCGTCTTGATACTGATATTAGCTCTGCGTGTTTATGCTTTCTGCCATATCCAAATTCAGGGCGTATGCGTGGACTATCACCAACTACACTGAGTTCGTGAATCATCGAGCTATGCCTTTAATTTGTCGCGTGATCTCATATCATGTTATCTCTCATTTCTCATATTCAGGACTGGCGACTTTTACACGACAGAGCAGCTTTACAAACATCATCCACATGGCCAATATCTTGCGGATGGTGCATTTAAAGAAGTTTTCAAGGTGTTTTCGTTGGAGCAAGATAGGTTTGAAGCTGTTAGTGTTATGGATATTAGTGATATTGCCAATCAGGTAACGACTTTAGTCCTTCTATTTGACATGAGTGTAGTATGATTCTCGTACGGCTCAAATGGTTTTGTTTACAGAGCGTGATTCGTCAAGAGGTGGCGCATTCGATTTTGCTGTCCGATGCAACTGAGCGCGGTATTTGTCCCAACTTTCTTCAGGTTTTCGACATTTTTCTTGCACACGAGCGACCTTCTCCTAATCTATGGGGTAGTAAGGAGCACCGTAAACCGATGGAGCTGCTGGCGAATGGAAGTATTGATTGTGAGACGCAAACAGAGCAGAAATCTGCCAGTAACAAACGCGACCATATTTTTCAGTACATGCGAATGGAGTACTGCGATGGGGGTGATCTTGAAGACTTCATCAGCTTGCAAGAGAACCAGAATTTACCACTGCACTCTGTTGCCATACCCTTCTTCTTTCAAATGGTGTTTGGGTTGTACTGTGCCCGAGAGAGATTTCATCTGCGGCATGGTGATATTAAGGTAGTACTTACAATTCGTTGCCATTGCTACTTACATAAGCTGTGAAATTATTTGCTACAATTTGCTTGTATAGCTGCTTAACTTTTTCTTAAAGGATATTGGTCGTTCCGAGAAAATGAAGGATCCAGGATCTGATGTTGTGCTGCACTATATGGTGGAAAGCGCTTGCTTTGTACTCCAAATGCCTGCATCATTTTCCTATTGGGTCAAGTTAGCTGATTATGGCGCGGCTGACTCCAATTTAGAAAGTCTGGGGAAAGCTGTTACCGCCGACCACTTTACCACTTTGGAGAATTCACCGGTAGAATATATGTTAGAAGGTGATGCAGCTGTGCTGTCTTATGCTTCAGATACCTTTTCGTTGGGCCTTTGTCTGCTGCATTTGCTTTCAGGAAGGTATGTGGTCATGATCATTTTTGTGGATCTAGTCTGATGAATTCAAAACTATGAAGAGCTCCATATGAAGAGATTCTGGAAGATGTCAAATGCCCTAAAGATCTGCTAAAGGACTTGAAGGCTGTTTGGATGGTACAAAGTTAATATGTAATCACACAAACTTGCACGATCTGAAGTACTTCTGCACTGTAGAGCTCCCGAAAAAATTCCGGCTTTTCGGTAATAAAAAGCGTCGCTAGTGGTGACGACGAGAACACGCTCTGCCACACTTTGTATCGATACATAGTACTATTTGGGCTACCAGAAGAAAAGCCGAGCAAAAGCGATAAAGTGTGGCAACTGCTACTTAAACATTTACGACCAGAGGATAAAGCTATAAATCGTCCCCAACGTAGACGTCGACAACTACAAGGTTCAACCAATGTTATGACTACGGAAGACCAATTCTTGCATGACCAGTCTTTGTACTCCATCGCACACGGCACCAACGAAGCAATTTTCCGATGCCGTGAAAGACTGAAGAAAGTTCCAGGCGCAATCAACTTATTGATGAGTCTGGTTGATTTTGATCCATCGAAGCGCCTCACGCTCAAGCAGGTAATGTACCATCCGGCGTTATCAACTCTCCGCTTACCTACACCAGCATCGGCAGATTATGTTATATGTTACTATGGAAGCCGAGGTCAGGATGGTCGTTCATTAGCTGATGTATAGAAGGATATGGAATGAATATTTTACTAGTGATTCTGACTACTTCTGAAGATCATATTACAAGCATAGTTACATTTTTTGTTGTTGCTTTATTTGCTCCACCCTCTCATCAATCCTTCCACCCGATGCACCGTTATTTCAATTGGTCGCTGCGCAGTGCAAATTGCATGGATTAATTCTTTCGGCTTCAAAAACTTTTGACCGTTCACCGCTACTACGCGAGAGCCAACTAGAATGCCGTGATTTTTCGCAATTGAGTCTTCGTCAACGCTTCGAACAAAGCAGTTAACATTCGTGGATAGCGAACAGCCCAGCTCTTCTTTCTCGTGCAACGTAACTTTGATCTCCACCGTTCTAGGCTCTGGAATGGAAGAGATAATCGTTTGACTCTCTGGAGCAACGTGTGAACGGAAGACAAAATGGAAAGTCAGCGGGCGTGGAAGTGATCGAAGCATATCAACAACATCATCAAAGTTGAGGTTCTTCGTATTGTTTAAACCAATCAACAAGCTACCAACAATGACATCGGCTTGTTCAGCAGCACCGCCAGGAATGATACGAGACACTTCTGCAAAGTTATTCGTAGATTTTACCAGAGTAAAACCTAGCGGTTCATCGGGAGCTCCGAACTTTCGCTCATATTTTCTCCAATTTAAATTTTCAGATGTGCTGACAGAGCAAGATTTCGAGTGCCCATTTAATTGATTGAGTGATATCATCGAGCAGCACGTTGTACACTTGACACATTCACCATCTAAGGGATCACTTGTCTGTGACATATCTGTAGTCATTGTTGGCGATGGAATTGAATCTTTCTTTGAAATAGATTTTATATCATTGAAAGTCACCGTGTCACGAAGCATCACCAAAAATGAGGTGGCTTTAAGTGTGCATTCACATGATGGATCTTTGGCAGCAGCCAGAGCCACTTGATATTTGTAAGCTTTCGCAACGCTTGAAGAGTATTTTTTCTCCATGGGACTATCGTAAATACCAATTCCGGTGCACACGGCAATCCATTTGGCATTGCCACCCACTTCCAGTGAACGCACTTCACTTTCTGACCATGAATCCATGACTAAAGACTTGACAAAGCTCGTCTGTACACCTAAAGAGCGGTGTTTACCAGCGCAATCTAGACATAGCAACACACCGAAAGAGACACCTGCCCACTGTGGATAAATGGCCTTACAATCAACACAGCGCTGACAATACAATACATGTAGCAGCATAAAATGTAATAAGTAAGTAAAAAAAAGTTGTTGATTCGAGCACATGAGCCTACATCGTTGCCAGGAAGTAAACGAATGGCCACTTCTGTCGCTGGTGATAAATGGACCATTGACGTCGGCTCTGATAGTTGGCCTCGCCTCATTTTAGCAAAGGATGAGCTGCTATTGCTGGATGTTGTAGAGCTGCAGCTTGAAGATGACGGGGATGACTGCGCGGTTTTCACCAGTGTCATGTTCAAGACAACAATTGACAACAGTGTGGTTTGTTCGTGATAGAGCTTAGAACATGCGCTATTATACTATATTTTGAGGGTCAACCTATATTTTTAATATTGTCTGATTACAACGCAAACTTTTTTTATAGTCTTGAATTATAACTCGTGAGTACTACGTAATTGTTTTACACGCTCTAGATTTTCGTTGATGTGTACCTGTCGTAGCTAGAATAAAAGCAGAGGGTGTCCTTCGCGTGGCAATAACCGGAAGACATGCTTAGTACATATTGGTGTAGATGACCAACCACATTTCTCTTCAAATTAAAATATTCAGTGACTCAACAGATGGTCCGAGTTGTAAGAAATAGTTGTAGCAAGAGACTACAAACGAACAATTGAAATAGTCTCAGAAATCATGTAGATTTAAATCATTATCTCCTTTCAAATAGACTCCCTCTACCCATACAAATAAGGATTGAAAATAAAAAATTAAAATAGTGACTACTATCCGATGCTATTGACAGCGAAAAGATCCCTTTCAAGACCACGTTATGTTAGAGTATGCACTGTCGCTGCATAGAGAGTTCAATATCGTCACCACGACAACTTCTGAGAGCGAATTATACGACAGGGCACACGAATTACTGCGTGACGTGCATACAGGAGACTGTTCAAGAACCGAAGGTTTCCAAAGAAGAGAAGCTCAATGAAGGTGACTTGAACGACATGTAAGGAAAGCTAGCAGCTTGCACATAGACTGTAGCACGATCAGGATATGTTTTACATTCTGCCTTCGGCTCATCAGTTTGTACGCTCAAACTCTTGCCTGTGCTACAAACAAATGACTTCTGCACCAATAGGAACTCAACAATTAGGCGACTAAATCATTGAGATTTTTCATAGTAGCGGTCTACTCGACCTCATCTTGAAGTGTCCAAGGATGACGGAGCCAAGGAACAAAAAACCAAGAATTTAATGGCGCAAACGATCACCGCCAGGCAACTGAAATCAGAAAGGGGTAGCTAAAACGTGGTTGCTTTGCGTGTCGCATGAAGTAAGTTTGACTCTACGAGTCCGCGTTAACAAACACATGGGCTCATACGCTTCATCCAGAAGCGGAGCCACGGGCCTCTCAAGTTATTAGATGCTTATCGCTCTTTAATTTCAAAAGTTACATTAGTCATGCACATTACAAGAGAAGGCTTTGTCTCGACGAGTCCGCGTTGATACATGCACAAAGATTCTATTCGTGCGATTCGCCCAAAAGCGGAGCCGAAAACTCACAAAAGTGCTTGCTGCTTTGTGTTTGAGTCAATTACAGGAGGAATGTATATAATCAAGTTTAGTTCAGGCTGATACAGGATATTAACGTTTCTCAATAGCGATTCTATTTAAACTGTATGGTGTGTGATTAATAGCCCACATGTTCACGGACCTCTTATTTACGAGGTCCAACATCCCTCTTCTGTACTAAGTACTCATCATAACTCTTCATCATGGGACTACGTTTGGGTTGTTCAAGCCTCTTCACCGTCCGAGAGACAATAGTGACGATATTGTGTTTTGTACGCACATTATGTTACGATGGCCCCAGATGTATAACACACTGAGGTCATATATAATTCGTTTTAACAGAAGAATGCGTTAAAAAGATCGCTTAACGATTACCCTCTGCGCTTGGTGCTCGCTCTGTCATTTGCATTCCTCAATGTCTGCTTCTCTGTAAATATTCTCATCAAGGTCCCTCTCATTATTACGCCCGCAAATTCCAATTATATTCTAAGAATGCGCAGTCTTCACGAGCGACGATCTGCGAGCCCTTCTCGGTGATGTAGCCGATGCGTTCTCCAATCAGAACTGTCGTAGTGGCATCGAAATTTCACTGAGTTAGTGGAGTCTGCTTCGTCTCGCCTCTTCTCCTCGCGATAGCTGCACTGTATGCCTGTTTCCTACGGCGAAAAGCGTCGTGACTCCCCACCGCAAAACGCATGGCAAAGATTAGCCTGTTATCGAGTAACTCGAGCTGGTTTAGAGAGCCGAACTTTCCAAAGTGTAGCGATGAGCAGTGGATTTTATTCATTACTTGGTCAAGCGCGCTAACCAATGTGCAACCTACCATGCTGTTATGTAGAAAAAAATTTCATAGCTGCATTTGTAAGCATGTACAATTCTCCTCTTGCTGTACTCTCTCTGGTGCAAACTCGGTCCGGTATTATGGACATTTACTATCGGTCACTAATCCTGTTTTTGCATGACAAAGTATTTGTGTATTTGACGAAAACTACTCCCTTGATCGGATACATATTGAATGACGCTAGGTTTAGTTTCAGTGACGTCTGTTGCATAACTCGAATAAAGAAAGTGTCACATCGTCATGACCATTCAAACAAGTGAAGAGAGGAACAACTATGGGGGCTTATGGCAGACCTGTTGCGGCAGCAAA